TCCACCCACTTTATTTACCATTAATCTCATCTAATGTTGTTCTGTCAATACCATCTATTGCATTTCTCATATCAGATATTGTAGTTTTCATATTTAGAAGTTTGATTTTAGTCTTTAAAAAAAATTTTCCATAACTCTACTTCTGAACATATGGCCTACACTTATAGGAACTGCTTTTATGTATTTGTCTGCTAATTCTAACATCTGCTTCAGTTCTGGGTTGGTTTCAATTGGTTGGGCTTTTTCTTTATTGTGGGTAGTGTTGCTTTGCATGCCTGGTAATTTTTTATTGGATGCCAAACATTGTGAATTTCACCTTGTTGGGTGCTCGATATTTTTGTACTCTCTATATATATCCTTGAGTTTTATTCTGGGATGCAGTTAAATTACTTGGAGACACTTTGATCCCTTTTATGTCTTGCTTTTAAGATTGATAGATAGAACCAGAGCAGCATATAGGCTACAGCTAATTATTCCCCATGACTAAAGCAAGACAAATATGAGTCTTTTACCTAATTTTCTTTAAATAATGAATATTTAAATCTGGCTAGTGGGAACAGGCACTTTTCCCTGACTTCTGTGAACATCAGGACTGTTCCCTCTAATCCTCTCGGATGGTTCTGTTCTGGCCTCAGGTAGTTTCCTCACTGCATGGTTGCTCAGCATAGTAGTTTCCCTTTACACACAGAGGATATTTTCTAAGACTCCCAGTGGATGCCTAAAACCTCAGATAGTACTGAACCCTATATGTATTACACATACATTTCTTTTTTCTTCTTCACAATTTCACTGATAGAATATTTCATTCTTAACATAGATCTTAACAGACTCAGCATAAATTTTTTTTTCTTTCCTTATTAAGTCAAGAACTTTCATCTTTTTACTTAAAGGAAGTACTTTGTGGCTTCTCTTTGGCATATCTGAATTGCCAAAATCTCCATTCTTATGCTTTGGAGCCATTGTGAAGTAATATAAAGGTACTTAATTGCAAGCACTGTGATACTTCAACAGTCAATCTGATAAACAAGACAGCTACTAAGTGACAGGCGGGTGGCAAGTACAGCCAGTAGAGTGCGGATAATGCTGGCCAAAGAGATTATTCACATCCTAGGTGGAATAGAGCAGTGATATGGTTGCCTGTGTTCCCACCCAAATCTCATTTTGAATCAGAGCTCCCATAACTTCCATGTGTCATGGGAGGGACCCGATGGGACGTAATTGCATTATAGGGGTGAGTTTTTCTCATGATAGTAAATAAGTCTTACGAGATATAATGATTTTATAATGGGCAGTTCCCCTGCACACGCTTTCTTGTCTGCCACCATGTAGATGTGTCTTTGCTCCTCCTTTGCCTTCCACCATGACTGTGAGGCCTCCTCAACCATGTGGAACCATGAGTCCATTAACTTCTCTTTTCTTTATAAATTACTTGCTTTGGGGTATGTCTTTATTAGCAGCCTGAGAACGGACTAACACAAGCAGGATGGCATGAGATTTCATCACATTCTCAAAATGGTGTGCAATTTAAAACTTGTAATTGTTGATTTCTGGAATTTTCCACTTAATATTTTCAGACCACAGTTGGCTATGGGTAATTGAAACCACAGAAAGTGAAACTTTAGTAGTACTGTACTCTTACATTTTTCAGATCTCTGGAGTTTAACTCTCTGTAATCCTCTTCTCTCCAGTATTTTATTCTGTTAACTAAAGCCATCTTGGTTTCCCTGGATTTTTATCCAAATTCTCAACTCAGAGAGTCACTGAGATGTGCCTATGTCACTCCTCTCTATGCTGCCTGGAAGTCCTCTCAAGGCAGTAAGCTGAGACAATTGTAGGGCTCATTTCATTTATTTCCTGGCTCTCAAAGATCACTGTTTTCCATTTCCTGATGTCTGTTATCTTAAAAAGCACTCTTCCACATATGTTGTCTGACATTTTCGGTTGTTTCAGGTGGGAGGGTAAATTCAGTTCTTGTTACATCTCTTTGGCAAAAGCAGACATTCATAGACTGTCTTTTGACGACCCTTTCCACTCTTCATAACTCACTTTTCAGTTTCATGAGACCATCCATAAACATTCCAGTTCCCAGAATATTCAATAAAGGAGAAACTCCTGCTGAATTCCCTCCCTAAGACTTGGTTCATAACCACGCAGGGCCTAATCATTATCTGTTGTTTGAGAGGCACAGAAGATGGCTATCTCTTATTTCTCTGTTAATGTGATCAAGTAAAGTTAAGGGCAAGTTTGTATTTCAGTATAGCTATACTAAATTATAGCAACTCCATGAGGTTACGCTATTACAAACATGGCTAAAAATGCACTGAAAAGAATACATTTGTGTGGTACCCCACAAGTCTTCCAATGCCAATGGAAAAGTTTAAGCATGATTAGAATCTTGGCTCAGAGACCTAGATCTTTTTATGTCAATACATTTCTCCCTAGGGGTAAGTAAGGTACTTTCAAAGGACATCCATTCTTTGAAGTCAGTTAGAAAATTACTGCTGCAAGGTACTAAATAGTACTGCAGTAGACTAACAGAGATAATGTACAGCTGCAATGTGTTCATTATGCCAGGATGTAATTTACCTTTCAGCACATACTGCTTCCCTCTGTGCACGCCCTGGCTCATGGGAGTTTGGGAATAACCAACTGTGATCCAGTTTCCACTGGGTTTCTCTCTCAATGTTCACACTGGGCATGAATTGTACCCAGATACTCCCTCTCAAATATTAAAGAGAACTAGTCACCAGTGGTTCCCATGGATTGGTCTAGGGGTAGGGACATTAAAAATTGTTAAATTGACTCCCACTCATTATCAGACATAATAGGATCCAAAAAGAAATGTTCAAAAATGTATCTGGTTGTTTGCACATAGTTTTAAAAACAATCAATGTATCTACTGACCTACATACTTCCTTTTTAAATTTTTCTGAAGTAGAGAGCTTTAATGACCAAAAAGAAAAGGGTAGGTGGGACTCATCAATTGTTTTCCACTTCCTGCCACCAAGAATTAGCTTTAGTCCTGTTAAAGGTTTTGGACTAAAATAGTGCAACTCAGTGAAACTCAGTGCTCTAAGTTCTATTGATACCAAAGCAGTAATTATGTCATATTAGTCCCTCAATGAATATAAAATGGAAAGTTGTTCATGATTATGTTTGTGTGCAAACTTCCAAGTATACAGACATACCAGGACCTACTTGAGGAAGCGGAAGAACAGGCTATGGAGGAAACAGAGATAGACATTAAAAAATGTCTCTTTTATTTATTGCAGTCTGCTTACTGCCCCATGAGATCAAGAATCCTGCTCATTAAACAATCAAACTTTACACTTATTTGCACAATAGAACATAAAATATATTTCATCACTTCACCCCTTCCCCCCCAAAAAAACAGTTTAATTCTTTTAAATACTTGGGTATGATTCAGTTAAAAAGGGCACAGTTAAAAAGGCTTTATGAAGATGATAAAATGTAATCCACAATGCCCATATGACATCATTATAGTAGATGTTTGTACCACAATATATAAATGCAACAAGATTCAAAATTGCATATGAAAAATTTGGGACTTGATTTATTCTGGGCTTTTATGCTATAGAAATTTAACAGGAAGCTGTGGGCCAATAGTTGGATACAGGATGGAGAAAGTGTCTGGGTTCTGGGTTTGAAGTTGACACCGTTCCTCCACTGTACATTTTCTGGCTTTGGATGCCTTGATTTGGTATTGATGGCTGGCAAAGAGCTTCTGGTATTTAAACAAATAGAGTCTGTACTTACCTATAATAGAGTCTGGCTCAAAGACTGTCATTCTAAATTCTATTTTATTCTGTGTAATTTACTTCTTAGTCACAATTATTCAAGAAGGGTACACTCATTAGATAAGTGATTTCCATTTGCATAAGCACATTGGTAAAAAAAAATTGCAGGTATGTGTTCCCAGATATTATGTAATAAGACACCTGGAGTTAATTATTTGCATTGTCTTTTTAGAAAAAGTTTGAGAACTGTTTTCATGCATGCAAGCAAAAACAGCACGTCATAATGGCTTAGGGCAGAAAGCTAAAGGGGCTGCTTCCTTTATAATAGATGTGCAAAGAGTTATGCTCCAATTTCTTCTTACTCTTCCACCTGGTTACCTAGCATTTGTTCTTCAAAGGTATTCTAACCAAATGATTCAAAGAAGAGTTTAGCATCAAATATGATGTCTCCAGGGAGGTAAGATTTAGAGAGTCTGGGATGCTATCAAAAACCACTCTGTGGAAACTTTCATTTTTAGCTTAATATAATGTCTGTGTATGAGGGGATAAATAGTAATGAACCTGTGTGATAGCTGAAACAATGAAGTTTATGTAAAAGGCCAGGGCAGGTGTCTCAATCTTATAGTTCAAAGTGTGAAGGGTAATATAATTTGAACTTTAAGGTTTTAGAAAGAGTGAAATGTTATTTATGCTTGCGTTTTGCATTGTCATTGCCTTTAGGACTTGTTCTTGCTGGCAAAACTGTATTTAAAACCATATATACTGCCTCCCAACATTAGCACTATACAGACCCGTTTTTGTTTTTGTTTTAAGTAAAAATAAGAACTAGTTCAAGGGAAAAAAGTGAAAACATAAAACATGAAACATTTCTTACTTATGCTGTATAATTCCCCATCAAAAACTTACAAATACATTAGCAGTATATGATACTCCATTCTAGCTATCTGATCAGCAAGTCCAAAATAAACTTTTTATAATGTTTAAGATGAAAAATGGCAAGTAGGAAAAGAAAGAGTATAGAAAACATTTGTGATGGAGAAAGTGTGGTGAAGGGGAAGATATACAGCAATAATTTATAAATTATTGATAAAGGGATAATAGTACCCTTTAAATATAGTGAAGGGTTTTTTCAGGATATAAGAATACATTCACAACCACTATTTCAATTTTGGGTATGATTCTAACAAGCTTGCATTAAACTGCACATTTTATGGAAAAATGTAATGAGAGTAATACTCTTACCATCTGTTTTCTTTGAATCATTTCCGATGTTAGAGTGATCCTTCTTGTCTGTCTTATTTTTACCATCTTTCAAGTCACCTGAAAGTAATAAACATGACAAACAGTATATGTGTACAGCTGAGGGGGGCGTTACAAGCATCTTTAAACCTGTCAAGGTTTTAAAAAGTACAGCATAATTTTATAGTCACGAGAGTGTATGTGTCTGAGTGTAAATATCTTTTGTAATCACGTTAGGTCCTGGAAATTGGATTGTGATGCAGAAATTGAGACTGAAAGTTCTTGTCAAACAGAGTTGTAGTTATGTGTTTATCTTCTAACAGAAGCAGTTAAAATTTACTGTTAGGCTGTGGAGTGAGGAGAAACCCGAGCTAACTGTAAGTTCTACCAATTAATAGCTATTTAACTTCTCTGTGCTTCAGTTTTCTTATCTGCAAAATGGGTATGTTAACACTTATCTTATAGTCATATTGGATAAATTAGAAGGCATATCACTCAATACAGTTGTTATTATTCTAAAACAGAGCTATAAATGGTATTTTAATAAATGATCTTGTCAAAGTGTAGTTTGTAAAAGTTGTAAAACGCTATCCTTAGAAAGAACACGTGTCAAAAATGTATTTAACCCACTTATGAGGGAATAGTAAGAAGGTTCCAAGAATACTGGAGAGCTGGGTATTGATGGGTATTTTAGAAACATGTGAAAATACATTTGCTAGGTTAGAGACAAAACTGGTTATATCCTACAGGGCAATAAAACCATAACTTTTGGGGTTATCTTTTCTCTCAGTCAAAAATCTATAAATTAGCATATAACTTCACAGTACCTAGGCTCGAATCAAATAGTAAATAAAGTTAAACACAGTCATGTTCTTCAAGAGCATCACTCAGCAAATTAAGGCCCCTGGGTCAATGGTGCCCACCACCGATTATGGCAAATAAAGTTTTCCTGAAACATGGCCACACTTATTCATTTACATATTGTCTTTGGCTGCTCTCATGCTGCAATAGCTGAACTGAATAGTTGCCAAGAGACAGGCAAAGCCAGAAATATTTTCTATTTGGTCCTTTACACTAAAACAGTACTGCACCCCTATCTAAAATAATTTAATAATCCCTGGGCATGTGTGTTCAACAATATGCCAGTATGACATGGAAAGGTCGGGGGCCTCTTCCCCCAGCCTTATTTTCAAGTGTTGGATATCTTCGTACCAGTCTTAATAATGGAAGCTTTCTTTTCAGCCTGGATAAAACCAAGAATACATTCTCACTCAAATACTGGTACTTACTGAAGTCAAAAGATCCTAATAATAATTGGAGTGAGCTGGGCCTCCAAGGAATGTGTATGAGGGACAGGATTTACTCTTGCTTACTTTATTTGTGCCAGGCAGTGTGCTAAATGCTTTGCATGCATCATTTTATTAAATCTTCTAATAGCTCCATTATGAAGGTACTATTATTGAAAGTAGACAGCTTCATCAAAGATTCATTCGCTAAATGTCCAATTTGTAAAATTTGCTGAACAAACCACTCACCAAATGATTGAGGATGTTTTCCAAATTTGAGTTTTTTTATTGAGGTTCCTGCAGCCAGTTGCACAGACACAGGCCATTCCATCTATGTCAAGGGGTATGGACTGCCGACTCACACGTTTCATACCCCACCCTGAACTCACATCTGCCCCAACCTTGCACCTGGATCTCCCTCTTGCAGCAAAACTGCCAAGCCCTCAGCTATAGTATTTGCAACTTCTCTATGAAGCTCAAGTTTTAGATTTCAGACTTCTGTTTATTGTTTCCATTTCTAAATGCCTTTGGCCTATGAATTTATAAAGAAATGATTATCTAAGGATGATTCAGGACCATTTGGGGCTGTGATATATTCTACGAACCACATACTTTCAGTGAAATTTGACAAATACTAAGCTAAGCTAGAAGTCAATAAACTCTCCAGGTTCCCTCTCATTCTTAATTCTGAAATGGGATGGACTGTGATATGGTTTGGCTGTGTCCCCACCAAAATCTAATCTTTAATTGTACCTCCCATAATTCCCATGTGTTGTGGGAGGAACCCAGTGGAAGATAATTGAATCATAGGGGCAGTTTCCCCCATACTGTTCTTGTGGTAATGAATAAGTCTCACAAGATCTGATGGCTTTATAAGGGAAAACCCCTTTTGCTTGGTTCTCATTCTTTCTTGCCACCACCATGTAAGACGTGCCTTTCACTTTCCACCATGATTGTGAAGCCTCCCCAGCCACGTGGACCTGTGAGTCCATTAAGCCTCTTTTTCTTTATAAATGACCCAGTCTTGGGTATGTCTTTATCAGCAGTGTGAAAACAGACTAATACAGACTGGTTGGAAGAATTGAGGAGCAGGGGAGTCTACTCTAGCCAGGGTCCAAACCGGAGGATTTTAAGTAGAGGAGATGGTCATCACCTCTTCCACCACCAAAAGAGAAGAAATCCTTTAGAGGTCCCACGAAACAGTCCAAATACTGGCTTTTCCCTGTGTTAAGGAAGCCAAAGATGTACTCAAGAATCTTGAGCCCTGTAGTCAAACTAGTTCCTTCTAGTTCCTTCTTCCCTCAGTGAGCCTCCACACTCTTAATGCATGCTTTTTAAGTCTTTTGGGTTGCTCTGAACTGGAGCTTTACCCACAGCTACAGCAACATCAGGATGTCTTCTGGAAGTCGTGGAGACGGTTACCTTTGCTGGTTGCTAACCAGCAGCCCATGATGGTCCCTGTTCTCAGCCAGGGATGGGGAGGCTGTGGGAGGAAGTCACCTCAACAAGAACAAAGATTAGAGGATCCTGTCACTGCCAACGGGTGTCCAAACCTTGAGAACCTCCCCCCTCACCAACATCCTTCAGTTCTAACTTGGAAGATATCCTGGGCACCCCACAAAGAAGGGGGCCGGGACAGTGACACATGCTTGTTTGATGATGTTGCCTGAGCAAAACCCATTAGGTAATTTCCCATGGGTTGTATCTGGAGTAATGACTGATGTGAGTTGTTACTCAATAAACAAGGGGAAGTGAAAAGACTTTCTGTGCAGTTATAAATCATTTTAATTAGGCTGCTGTAATACAGTCCCGAACCACCATTAGCCTTTCTTATTATTGCTCTAAACTGATTTCTTTTCCCACCTCTCATTTACAGCTTACTTTTTAAGGGAAATGGTAGACTGTTGCTTATTTCCGGAAATACGCACACTTGTGAAATCAAGCCAGCCTCGTTGACTCAGGTTCCTGTTTTGTTTCTTTCAGGCTTTCTGCTTAACCAACTTCAAAATGAATTATTATTTCCACATCTGCCCTCTCTGGGTCTTTGTTTCCCTATGGTAGAATTCATATTTTTCCTTGTGACTGGCTTATTTGCATTTATTGGTTTCTCCCACTGACTAGACCTGGGGTTGGCAGACTATGGCCCATGGGTCAAACCTGGCCCCGCTGCCTGTTTTTTTATGACCTACAAACTAAGAATGGCTTTTACATTTTTAAGTGGTTAAAAGAAGACAAATATTTTATGACATATGATATTACATAGAATTCAAACTTTAATTTCTATAAAGTTTTATTGGAAAACAGGCTAACTCATTTGTTTGCATATTATTTGTGGCTGCTTTAAAATGGCAATGTTGAGTAGTTGCAATAGAGACCTTACATCCTGCAAAGCCTAAAATACTTACTATCTTGTCCCTTATAGAAGAAGCATGCCAATCCCTGGAATAAGTGCATTTTAAGTCTCTTATAAACAGCAGTTAAGTTTCCACATTTCTCTGATTGCCCCTCTCCCTGAAGGCACCAAACCACAGGTACATGCTAGTTACAGAACAGAGCATTGGGACTCACACAGATCAGAGTTTAACCTGAGACCTCTACTTAATGGTTGCTTGACTTTACACAAGTGATTTCACTTATCTGAGTCTTAATGTTCCCACCCACAACGTGGGAATGAGTGTTTCTACCTCATAGGGTTGTTAGAACTTTTACATGATTTAATGTAGATAGAATCTCAAGTAAAATGTCTGATACATGTTAAGCATTCAGTAAAATGGTAGTATTATTGTTATTGCTTTTACTAAGGGAAAGACATTTCTTTCTTTTTTGTTAATATACTTTAAGTTCTAGGATACATGTGCATAACGTGCAGGTTTGTTACATATGTATACTTATGCCATGTTTGTGTGCTGCACCCATCAACTCGTCCTTTACATCAGGTATAACTCCCAATGCAATCCCTCCCCCCTGCCCCCTTCCCATAATAGGCCCCGGTGTGTGATGTTCCCCTTCCCGAGTCCAGGTGATCTCATTGTTCAGTTCCCACCTATGAGTGAGAACATGCGGTGTTTGGTTTTCTGTTCTTGCGATAGTTTGCTGAGAATGATGGTTTCTAGCTGCATCCATGTTCCTACAAAGGACACGAACTCATCCTTTTTTATGGCTGCATAGTATTCCATGGTGTATATGTGCCACATTTTCTTAGTCCAGTCTGTCACTGATGGACATTTGGGTTGATTCCAAGTCTTTGCTATTGTGAATAGTGCTGCAATGAACATACGTGTGCATGTGTCTTTATAGCAGCATGATTTATAAACCTTTGGGTATATACCCAGTAATGGGATGGCTGGGTCATATGGTACTTCTAGTTCTAGGTCCTTGAGGAATCACCATACTGTTTTCCATAATGGTTGAACTAGTTTACAATCCCAACACCAGTGTAAAAGTGTTCCTATTTCTCCACATCCTCTCCAGCACCTGTTGTTTCCTGACTTTTTAATGATTGCCATTCTAATTGGTGTGAGATGGTATCTCATTGTGGTTTTGATTTGCATTTCTCTGATGGCCAGTGATGATGAGCATTTTTTCATGTGTCTGTTGGCTGTATGCATGTCTTCTTTTGAGAAATGTCTGTTCATACTCTGTTGCCCACTTTTTGATGGGGTTGTTTTTTTCTTGTAAATTTGTTTGAGTTCCTTGTAGGTTCTGGATATTAGCCCTTTGTCAGATGAGTAGATTGAAAAAATTTTCTCCCATTCTGTAGGTTGCCTATTCACTCTGGTGGTAGTTTCTTTTGCTGTGCAGAAACTCTTTAGTTTAATTAAATCCCATTTGTCAATTTTGGCTTTTGTTGCCGTTGCTTTTGGTGTTTTAGACATGAAGTCCTTGCCCATGCCTATGTCCTGAATGGTATTACCTAGGTTTTCTTCTAGGGTTTTTATGGTATTAGGTCTGACATTTAAGTCTCTAATCCATCTTGAATTAATTTTTGTATAAGGAGTAAGGAAAGGATCCAGTTTCAGCTTTCTACTTATGGCTAGCTAATGAACTTCCATTCACAGTTGCTTCAAAGAGAATAAAATACCTAGAAATCCAACTGACAAGGGATGTAAAGGGCCTCTTCAAGGAGAACTACATACCACTGCTCAGTGAAATAAAAGAGGACACAAACAAATGGAAAAACATACCATGCTCATGGATAGGAAGAATCAATATCGTGAAAATGGCCATACTGACCAAGGTAATTTATAGATTCAATGCCATCCCCAACAAGCTACCAATGAGTTTCTTCACAGAATTGGAAAAAACTTCTTTAAAGTTCATATGGAACCAAAAAAGAGCCCACATTGCCAAGACAATCCTAAGTCAAAAGAACAAAGCTGGAGGCATCACGCTACCTGACTTCAAACTATACTACAAGGCTACAGTAACCAAAACAGCATGGTGCTGGTACCAAAACAGAGATATAGGCCAATGGAACAGAACAGAGTCCTCAGAAATAATATCACACATCTACAGCCATCTGATCTTTGACAAACCTGAGAAAAACAAGAAATGGGGAGAGGATTCCCTATTTAATAAATGGTGCTGGGAAAATTGGCTAGCCATAAGTAGGGAAAGACATTTCTAACTCACTCTGTTTAAAAAATAAATAAATAAATAAATAAAAAACCAGAGGGAAGAAACATACCTTGCCTTTCTCACCACCCCTTACATGTTACTCTTTTGAGAGGAGTGATTATTTATCTAGGAGGCAGGGTTGAGCATGCACAGCCTGGCCCAGCCACCCACATCCCAGCCTGCTTTGAGATATGTTTTCTGTAAGACACACACCTTTTCTGTCATTTCAGAAGCAGCCTGTGAGGGTGCTGGGGTAAGGGAAGAGTCCTGTGCCTGGCTATACAGTGTCTGGTTGTGTAAATTCATTTCAGAGCAAAATGTAAAGAAGCCCATGTATTCAGCAGACAAACTCTGTGTTTCCCAAGTCAGCTCCAGTTTTAGTTACCTGTCTCTCAGTTGGTTCAGACCTCAGAAGAGGTAGCAATGAGGGGCCTGCACTGCCCTCTAAAACATTAACAGGTACCAATAAATTCTTGTTTTAAAAAATTTTTGTTTGAACATGTTTTTATTTTTTAAAATTTTTACTTCCATAGGTTTTTGGGGAAAAGGTGTTGTTTGGTTATATAAGTAAGGTGAGTTGTGAGACTCTGGTATACCCATCACCTGAGCAGTATACACTGAACCCAATTTGTAGTCTTTTATCCCTCACACCCCTCCCACCCTTTCCCCCAAGTCCCCAAAGTCCATTGTATCATTCTTATGCTTTTGCATCCCTATAGCTTAGTTCCCACTTACGTGCGAGAACATATGATGTTTGGTTTTCCATTCCTGAGTTAATTCACTTAGAATAACGATCTCCAATTCCATCCAGGTTGCTATGAATGCCATTATTTCATTCATTTTTATGGCTGAATAGTATTCCATCTCTCTCTCTCTCTCTCTCTCTCTCTCACACACACACACACACACACATATATATATCACAATTTCTTTATCCATTCATGGATTGATGGGCATTTGGGCTGGTTGCATATTTTTGCAATTGTGAATTGTGCTGCTATAAACATGCGTGTGCAAGTATCTTTTTCATATGACTTCTTTTCTTCTGGGTAGATACCCAGGAGTGGGATTGCTGGATCAAATGGTAGTTTGGGTACATGAAAAATTCTTGTAAATTCTTTAGAACTTTTTTTTTCTGGACTATGATGCACTTGAATACAAAGTGCATGAATTAAGAGCAGTCTCCAGAAGGGGGCAGGACAAGTCGGGACAATGGCCTTCTCTGCCAGGTTAACTGAAATAATTTTTGCAAGGTTCCTGGAATGTGATATAAGCTATCATTATTATTACATGTGTTAAAATATTGCTCTCTGATTATGTGTTATAAATGGTTAATTATAAAAATAATTGGAGAACATCATGCTAAGCACTTTCTACATATAGCAATCATTGACCATGGCCCTGTAGCATAATAGCTAGAACACAGTTCTGAGTAGATTACCTGGCCCCACCAGGCAGGCAAGAGAATGAATATGTAAAAAGAGAACTTAAAACAGCATCTAGTGTGCAGTCGATACATGCTATTTGTTGTTATTCTCTTCATTGTTTTTACCATCATGAGTATTACTGAAGGTTCCATGAGGCCTGTGCTGTGAACAGGTATTACTATATACATTGTGTAGAAACAGTAGAAGGTTAAGTAGCCTGGCAAAGGACACTGAAAAGGGAGAAGCACAGCTTGACCTGAGTCTAGGTCTGTTGACTGCTAAATTACCTTGCTATTCAGCCACAACCTGGCAATTGCAAGCTCTGGAGACTCAGAACTTCCTGCCCGCCCCTAATCAAGGGAACCAAGTCAAAGCCCTGTGTACATGCTCATCTTGTTCTCTCCACTCAGAAGTCTCTTTTGCCCATCTGACCAGCCAACTTCAGCATTCAAAACCCCATCTTGAAGCCTACTCTGACATTTACCCCATTTTATAATCCCCAGTCCCCAAAAAGCTAATGTCTTTCTCTCCACATGTTTCCTGGGCATTTTATCTACCATGCCACTACTTTCACTTGCTCACATTTCACTAGAAATATTTGTGAGGATGTCTCTATCCCCTTTGATATTTTGGGTTTCTTGTGGCCTTTCCATTTCTAAATCCCTAGTGCTAAGTATGGTGCTTGGCACGTAGTTGTTAATCGATATTTGTTTCATTAAATATAAGAAATCAATAACCATGTGCACACTATGGTGACCAGCTTACCCCAGTTTGCCTGGAGATTTTCTGTTTTTAAAACAGAAAGCTCTGTGTCTCCTAGTCCCAGGTAAACTGGAACAGCTTGTCCCCCTAAAGTATACACTTGTACACATATAGATATACAGATACCTATTACAGGAATAGGCTCAGGCAAACCTGAGGCCTGACCCTCACAGGGGTATGGTACATATGGTAAAATGACTTTCCATTCACCCACTTTGCACTCAGGACTGTGCTGTGGTTGTTAATGGTAATTTCCCCCTGGCAGGCAGGCAGGCAGGCACTGGCTAGAGTCTCCAGGGCAGCTGGAAACGGCCAGAAAGGTATAAATCTCCCTGAAGAGGATGGCACAGGTGAGCTGGTGGCTGCTTCTGCTGGGATCCTGCGGCCCAGTGAGGTGAGATCAGCAGGAACTGGATGAGCAGGAAAGCCTTGCCCTGTGAGCTGTCCCCATCAGTGGGGTCGTTTGCCAGTTTCCATTCACCATGTCATTAACTCCTCGAAAACAGCCCTTCACCAGTGCAATTCTACTCACCATTCTGTTGCTGTTCTAACGACTTCTCAGCTTTGGAATTTTTCCCACGAGGGATGTCACTTTTGTTCATCTGTGTTCCACCGACTTGATTCTTAGCTTCTCCAGACGTCTTTTTCTCAGATTTGCCAGATGCGCCTTCTTCAGCCTGGCTTCTGGCTTCCATTTCCTTTTGCTGCTCCTCTGCGGCCAGGCGAGCCTTTTCCTCTGCTTCCTTCTTGGCCTTCTCCTCTGCATCCATGGCAAGTAGGGAAAGGCACAGAAAAGAGAAAAACAGGTAATGCCATTAGGAGAATGACCTGTTTTAATACGCGAAGAGGATCTAAGGTGTTTACTGAGTGTTTGGGTACATTTTTGCTTAATTCATCAGATTGGCATGTATACTTAGGAAACCAATAAAATAGGTTCATGATGATGTCATTCTGGAAATAGTCAGTTAGAGGAGGGGTTGGGGAGAAAATAATAAGGATAATAATTAATAAACCAATATTGTAATGATATTATTAATATCACCATTATTAATAGCTTCTATTGAGTGTGTTCTCTCTGCCAGGTATTATGCTGAGTGTTTTTTGGGGATTATTTATTTTCATCCTCAAAAAAACCTTACAGCAGCTACTATTACTGTGACTCAATTTGACAAATGTGGAAATCAAGGCTGAGAGACATCATAAAACTTTCCCACAGCCACAGGAAAAACTGCAGCTTCCTATGGGCTTGCTTAAGACCTAGAGTTTTAACACGAACAATTGATTACAAAACAAAAAGGGAAAATATCCAACACTAGAGCAATTGAAGACAAACACACTGAGGACACTGTGAATTTAAAACAAGGAAGGGGATAATTGAGCCTTATGAAAAAAACATGGTCTTCAAACTGTCCACAAGGTGACAGGTAGCCTTTAGTTTGGCCAGGTACCTGGTCTGTGTCTTTCCTTTTAATGAAAAGATGCTAGCATTACTTCCAATCCAGTTGATTATAAAAGGGCTTGGCTCTGTGCTTACTCAAAACCACAGCAGAATTGCATAGGTTAAGTATTTATGAAAATATTGGTTCACTCATCCAACTCATATTTATTGAGCAGTTGTAGTGTTAAGTACTGTTTTAGGTACGAGGAATACAGCAGCAAGAAAGTCAATTTATAAATAAGAGATCATAATTAAGTAAACAAATGACTAAGATACTTGCACGTAGTAAAAAGTGCTTTGCAGAAAACCAAAGCAGAGTAATATACTGGAATACAATCAGCATAGGGGAGGGAGATTGCATTAGACAAGGAGGTGGAGAAGGAAGGCCTCCTTGACAAGGTGACATTTAACCAAGTCCTAAATCATGAAGAACTGGCCATGCAATAATCTGGACAAATAGTATCTCAGCCAGGGGAACTAGAAAATGCAAAGGCCATGAGGTAGAAATGAGCTTGGTATGCTCAAAGAACATTGAGTATGGTTAAAGTAAATTTGACAAGGGCTTAGTGACAGATGGTGTGGTCAAATGACTAAGGACAAGCAGGGTTCAGATCATGCAGGGCTTTGCAGGCAATGAGGTGGCATTGCATTGTAGAGAATATCCTACACAGAAGACACTTAACAGAGCCCAATCCTCCCAAGGTTCTAGAGACTCATCCCGTGTAGCACTTAATTCACTCCAAAGGTCTTCCAGCCTGTGCCATAAACTTCCATTGGGAAAAGCATTATTACATTTTTCTCCAGATGTGTTTTAAAATGCTCCACACATTATTATCAGGTGTTTTCTTTATTTTTTTGTGTTAGCCTTGGTCCTGGAAAAAAGCTAATGCTCATAAATAATCTATTTGTTTTTAATCTTATGGACACCAGAGTGACTATGCATCTATCATGTTTCCCTTTGTTTTAGGTGCTAAAGAGCTCAAAGTCCAAATTTGGTCCAGGTTCACATGATCATGAGGCTTTATGACATGTGTTTTGTGGAAGTCTATGATATCTGGTTTAGTCTATTTCTTCTGCCTTTATATTTGCTTACCTAAGATGTCTTCCTTAATATATCATGTTTTCATTCATTGATCCATCCATCCATCCATCCATCCATCCATCCATCCACCCATCCATCCAAACCAATGCCCTAGCCTCATCCCCAAACAAATTAAATAAGATTCTGGAGAAGGAAGGGCAATAATAGGATAGTTTGAATGTTTTCCAGGTGATTTAAACATGCAGAATTGAGAAGCACTGATTTAAATGTTAAATGTTTGCCATTCAGTATTTCATGACATTCTACTCCCCAAAAGAATACATTTGTAATTTACATTGAGAAGGTAAGGAAAGATTTCACAAATAACATAATTATGTACATGTAAAGTATGTCTTCTGGCCTTTATAGAAAAGTACAACTACAAAGTGAAAATGCTCTTGCAGAAGAAGATGGTGAGATGGCATTCTCAGTAGGATGCAGGACCACAGAAGGTCCCCTGGAATGTTCACTCAGGCTTTATCTCATCCTTCTTCAGTGACTGAGGATGGGGTTTAAATGTCATCTTTGCAGGTTCCAAGGTGGCCAATAGGAACAGCTCCAGTCTGCAGCTCCCAGTGTGAGCAACGCAGAAGATGGGTGATTTCTACATTTCCAACTGAGGTACCAGGTTCATCTCACTGGGGTTTGTCAGACAGTGGGTGCAGTCCACAGAGCTGGGCGGGGCATTGCCACACCCAGGAAGCACAAGGGGTTGGGGAATTCCCTTTCCCAGCAAAGGGAAGCCGTGACAGATGGTACCTGGAAAATGGGGTCACTCCCACCCTAATACTGCGCTTTTCCAACTGCCTTAGCAAACTGCACACCAGGAGATTATATCCCTCACCTGGCTCAGTGGGTCCCACACCCATGGAACTTTGCTCACTGTATCACAGCAGTCTGAGATCAAACTGCAAGGTGGCAGTGAGGCTGGGGGAGGGGTGTCCACCATTGCTGAGGCTTGAGTAGGTAAACAAAGCAACCAGGAAGCTCGAACTGGGTGGAGCCCACCACAGCTCAAGGAGGCCTGCCTGCCTTTGTAGACTCCACCTGCAGGGGCAGGGCATAGCTAAATAAAAGGCAGCAGAAACTTCTGCAGACTTAAATGTTCCTGTCTGAGAGCTTTGAAGAGAGCAGTGGTTCTCCCAGCATGGAGTTTGAGACACACACACACAGACTGCCTCCTCAGGTGGGTCCCTGGCCCCCGAGTAGCCTAACTGGGAGACATCCCCCACAGGGGCCGACTGACACCTCATATGGCTGGTGCCCCTCTGAGATGAAGCTTCCAGAGGAAGGATCAGGCAGCAACATTTGCCGTTCTGCAATAGTTGCGGTTCTGCAGCCTCCGCTGGTGATACCCAGCAAACAGGGTCTGGAGTGGACCTCCTGCAAACTCCAACAGACCTGCAACTGAGGGTCCTGACTGTTAGAAGGAAAACTAACAAACAGAAAGGACATTGACACCAAAACCCCATCCGTACATCCCCATCATCAAAGACCAAAGGTAGATAAAACCACAAAGATGGGTAGAAACCAGAGCAGAAAAGTTGAAAATTCTAAAAATCAGAGCGCCTCTTCTCCTCCAAAGGAAAGCAGCTCCTTGCCAGCAACAGAACAAAGCTGGATGGAGAATGACTTTGATGATTTGAGAGAAGAAGGCTTCAGACGATCAGTATTAAAAAACTTCTTCAAGCTAAAGGAGGATGTTCGAACCCATTGCAAAGAAGCTAAAAACTTTAAAAAAAAGATTAAACAAATGATTAACTAGAATAAACAGTGTAGAGAAGTCCTTAAATGACCTGATGGAGCTGAAAAATATGGCATGAGAACTACGTGAAAAATATGGCTACTGAGAACAAGCTTCAGTAGCCAATTTGATCAAGTGGAAGAAAGGGTATCAGTGATTGAAGATCAAATGAATGAAATTAAGCGAGAAGAGAAATTTAGAGAAAAAAGACTAAAAAGAAATGAGCAAAGCTTCCAAGAAATATGGGACTATGTGAAAAGACCAAATCTATGTCTGCTTGGTATACCTGAAAGTGATGGGGAAAATGGAACCAAATCGGAAAACACTATTCAGGATATTATCCAGGAGAACTTCCCCAACCTAGCGAGGTAGGCCGACATTCAAATTCAGGAAATACAGAGAATGCCACAAAGATACTCTTTGAGAAGAGCAACCTCAAGACACATAATTGTCAGATTCACCAAAGTTGAAATGAAGGAAAAAATGTTAAGGGCAGCCAGAGAGAAAGATTGGGTTACCCACAAAGGGAAGCCCATTAGACTAACAGTGGATCTCTTGGCAGAAACTTTACAAGCTGGAAGAGAGTGGGGCCAATATTCAACATTCTTAAAGAAAAGAATTTTCAACCCAGAATTTCATACCCAGCCAAACTAAGCTTCATAAGTGAAGGAGAAATAAAATCCTTTACAGACAAGCAAATGCTTAGAGATTTTGTTACCACCAGGCCTGCCTTAAAAGAGCTCCTGAAGGAACCACTAAACATGGAAAGGAACAACAGGTACCAGCCACTGCAAAAACATGCCAAATTATAAAGACCATCAATGCTAGGAAGAAACTGCATCAACTAACGAGCAAAATAACCAGCTAACATCATAATGACAGGATCAAATTCACACATAAAAATATTAACCTTAAACGTAAATGGGATGAATGCTCCAATTAAAAGACACAGACTGGCAAACTGGATAAAGAGTTAAGACCCATCAGTGTATTGTATTCAGGAGACCCATCTCACGTGCAGAGACACACATAGGTCAAAATAAAGGGACAGAGGAAGATCTACCAAGCAAATGGAAAACAAAAAAAAGCAGGGGTTGCAATCCTAGTCCCAGATAAAACAGACTTTAAACCAACAAAGATCAAAAGAGACAAAGAAGGCCATTACATAATGGTAAAGGGATCAATTCAACAGGAAGAGCTAACTATCCTAAATATATGTGTGCCTAATACAGGAGCACCCAGATTCATAAAGCAAGTCCTTAGAGACCTACAAAGAGACTTAGACTCCCACACAATAATAATGGGAGACTTTAACACCCCACTGTCAAATTAGACAGATCAACGAGACAGAAAGTTAACAAGGATATCCAGGAATTGAACTCAGCTCTGCACCAAGTGGACCTAACAGACATCTACAGAACTCTCCACCCCAAATCAACAGAATATACATTCTTCTCAGCACCACATCGCACTTACTCCAAAATTGACCACATAGTTGGAAGTAAAGCACTCCTCAGCAAATGTAGAACAGAAATAACAACAAACTGTCTCTCAGACCACAGTGCAATCAAACTAGAACTCAGGATTAAGAAACTCACTCAAAACCACTCAACTACATGGAAACTGAACAACCTGCTCCTGAATGACTACTGGGTTTGTAACGAAATGAAGGCAGAAACAAAGATGTTTCTTGAAACCAATGAGAACAAAGATACAACATACCAGAATCTCTGGGACACATTTAAAGCAGTGTGTAGAGGGAAACTTATAGCACTAAATGCCCACAAGAGAAAGCAGGAAAGATCTAAAATTGACACCCTAACATCACAATTAAAAGAACTAGAGAAGCAAGAGCAAACATATTCAAAAGCTAACAGAAGGCAAGAAATAACTAAGATAAGACCAGAACTGAAGAAGATAGAGACACAAAAAAACCCTTCAAAAAACTCAATGAATCGCTGGGCGCAGTGGCTCATGCCTGTAATCCCAGCACTTTGGGAGGCCAAGGCGGGTGGATCACTAGGTCAGGAGATTGAGACCATCCTGACTAACACGGTGAAACCTTGTCTCTACCAAAAATACAAAAAAAGTTAGCTGGGCGTGGTGGCGGGTGCCTGTAGTCCCAGCTATTTGGCAAGCTGACGTAGGAGAACCGTGTGAACCCGGGATGCAGAGCTTGCAGTGAGCCGAGATGGGGCCACTGCACTGCAGCCTGGGTGACAGAGCAAGACTCTGTCTCAAAAAAAAAAAATAAAATAAAATAAAAGAAAGAAAAAATCAATGGATCCAGAAGCTGGTTTATATATATACATTAAAAAGGAGTTGAGAACAGCTATTTTGTACATGCTCATAGGTTCCAATCACAGGATGTATACAGAGAATTCGCTTTTCAGGTCTTAGATTTAGCATCTGCTAGGCTTCTTGACTAGTCAAAAGCAAGAGATGTGCGGTTCAATTCTGTTTCCTTTGGCTTCGCATGTCAGACTGTCTGCAGTGTTGGGACTTGTGATAAAAACAACCAAGAGTAAGCAGTTAAGAGTTAAGGCGGAGCAGAACCCTCAAGATCCATACATTTGCTTCCTCCCAGTGGAGAGCCAGTTCTACCCCACAATGCATATCTGCACAGTTTTGGGGAAATACACTGATTTCTTTATTTGTCTTCCTGAATAATGATACTATAGGGTCTCAGTTAAAAATTGTATTGGGCTGATTATCCCTTGATATAATTTTCTGAAATGCCTACAACCAGAGAAGGAGAGAGAAAAAAACACAGAAAAGAGAGAGAAACTGACCAGAAAACCCAAAATACTATATGAATTTTGACTAGTTCAAATCTTAGTTCTATACAAGAACAAAAAAAAGGTACTTCTAGACATTTAAGAACTTAGAAAGTGTTCCTGCTTCCTGAAAATTTTAGTCAAAGAAGTGCTCCAGCTGACAGAAAACTTCAATCAACATTAAAAACTCAAAAATGAGAAAAATATGTAAATGAATAATTCTTTATATATTGTAAATCACAATATTCAATATCAGAATAAAATACTCAAAATAGAAAGCGAAAGGCCAAATACAAGACAATATTATATGATGATCCCAATTTATGGGCAAAATTTTTACTTATACATATTTACAGAAAAGCAAATTAAAAAGAATTACATCAGAATTTTAATAATAGTTATATGTGTCTAGAGAAGTAATGAGTAATTTTCATTTTCTTCTATATATGTATTTTATATTTCAGCATTTGTAACCTAAACACATTAGTGTTACACCAGAAAATAAGTGTTAAAAAAAGTACTAAATACTGAATGGAAATTAATCAATATTGGTCAGACTTGAAAATTGTTATGCCTATACATCTTTGGTAGGGAATAGTGATTTTTAACTCTAAGGGCTATAAAAATATTTATTTAATCTTTCCTAATAATTATCAGTTCTGGCCTACCTAGTTTTGTAAATCAGGTTGGTTAACAAAACCAAGACCCATTTCCAGTGCATTTATTAACAATACATGTTCAAGTGCCCCACGGAGGACAGCCTTTCTTGAAATCAGGGTCATCTGGAAAAAAAGAGCAACAAACAAAACAGCTACCACTAACAGAAAACAGATGCAAACTAGATTTCTTATTAGCACCAGTCAACCAGTCAACAGCATTACTGAGCTGCTGAGAATGTTATAAAATATTAGTTATAAGTTGGTATTTTCATCACCACCTTAACTTTGTATTCAAATCTCTAATCTTCTTTTCCAATTTGCATAAATAACAGCTGCTACTTAGGTACCAACCTTGCAGGCTCCTTTCTCAGTGGTTTATAGGTATTATTTCTATTCACCTCAATTCTGTGATGTACATTATCATCCCCAAAGTGAGCCTCAAAGAACCTATCTGAATTTGCCAACAACAACAACAAAAAAACCCTTGCAAGTCAAGACTCAATTCTCTTTCCCCTTCCCTGCTAATTGAAATGTGCCCTGACAACCAAATTATTCTCCCACAAAATATCCATAACACCAGGCTCTGTGCCTTTGCCCAAGCCCTTTCTTCTTGTTCCCATTTCTAAATACAACCTCGTTCAGGTCTTAATCCCAGAAGTCCTGCCACATGATGCCTTCCCAAACGCCCAAGCAGGGCTACAGACAAATTCTCTGTGCTTCCAAAATAGTTCAAACATACAGTATCTCTATCCCCATACCTAATGCATTTAAAAATTATTAGCTGTTTGTTTATCTGTTCTTTTTAAAGGGCCAGTTTTCTCCTGAAACTGTCAAATGCTTCCCCAGGTGATTAGTTTCTGAAGGTAATTTTAGTAAGCCAGATAATTGCAAACAAATTATTTTGAAGTACCTCTTTAAATTGCATGTTGTCAGAAATTGAATTTTCAAGTGTAATGAGTGTAATTGATTATAAGAGAGTGTTTCTTTGCAGATGATGCAGTAGCTGCCATCGCTGTTTGCAATACCTGCCAACAGGGAGGATTCGAATGTTTAAAGCATTTGAATGGACTAGGAGAGGGTGCACTTAAAATATGGAAGAGGTGTTGGCTCCCTCCACAGTTCAGGGTGCAACATCTGTCCTGAAATGATAAGGGTTCAATTACGCCCTAAAAGTGCCATAAATATAAACCCTTTTCCTCACCTGAAATGAGCAGCCACTTGAATGGAATTTTATGGACAAGTCACAAAATTGGACAGAATTTTGTGGACAAGCCTTTGAATAACTCCAACAGTGAGGCTGCTTCTTTCCTACACTAGAAAAGGAACCCCCACCTCCCACCCTGATGTACAGAAACCAACACTGCTAGAACATGTTCTTACCCACTGTCCCTACCCTTCTCACCCAGTATACTGACACTGGGAGGGTAAAAATGTGAGATGTTATGTTTGGGGAGAGGATGATGTGTTTTTGTCTGATGTGAAGGCCTAGGGCTTAGGCTGGTGGTGCTGGTGGCAACTTCAGGGCTTTGACTGCTTCCATTCTTCCTTTGAATGAAACTATATAGTAATGTCTCTTTCCCTCCCCTGCCACAAGACTGTGAGCTTTGAGGGCAAGGATGTCTGTTACTCATCTCTGTACCCTGGGTACCCGGCAGAGCCTGGCACACGGTAGGCATGCAATAGATGTTAGCAAAAACTGGCTCTTGTTGAAGACTCACCTCCAGGAAGCTCAGTTCCCTCACTGGGCTCCCAGATTCACCCATGTATTTGTCCTTGCCTTGAATCAGGCATCACAGTGTCAGATCCCTTATCTCAGGTTTGTGCTACCTGTGCACGAGGGCCTCTCTCCCTAATATGATCATGTAGAATGTACCCATCATGGAGGACATGCTCAGTAGTCACAAATGCACACATGAACAAAGGAATTTAGGCTTCCCACATCATACAAATTTCCACCTTTTTCTGCTGATAGTACCAAGGGCCACAATTTTTAGTTTTGATGATGTCTACTTCAGGGAATTTCTGTTTACCAACAATTTACCATTATCTTAGAAGATCAGATATATGGTTTGAGCAATGAGTGAAGGGAAACTGAGAATATGAAAGGAATATAGAAATGCATATAAGAAAATTAAAACTCCTTATATCCCAACATAATGGCCAAGGCAAGGTGGCTATTAGCAGGTCTTTACTTAGGTAAAAGAAGAAATAAAAGCCTCACAGTTGTGCCACATGATATCAAGTGAAAACGACAAGATGGTTTAGCAGAAATGAAGAAATAATAAGTCCATCTCCTGTAGAGTCTTCATACCAGAAAAAGGAGTTTAGTGCCACAGCATAAATGGCATCATGTCAGGAGGCTTGCAGGTCTGCTGCATTTTATCATGCATTGATTGGTAGATATTATGAAGATCAAAAGATGGTAGATTCTAACATTCAGCAATTTGAATCTGCATCCTGAGCAACTGAGCTTTATTTGTAACACACATAACTCAGGCAAGACAACCTTGTTTTATGACTGGGTGCTGAATTGGCTTGGACAGGTCGGTGGCATGTTACCTTTGGGTACCTTGGCCCTCCATCTCTCCCGATTGATGTGCACCACCTCGGTCCAAGTAGCTTTAAAGCTCTTATAGTCCATGGGAATGACAGAACTGTTGATTGGGGCACTTCCCTCCGAACCAGAGCTCTTGACACCTGATCGCTTGGCATCTGATGAGCTGATGCTATTCAAACTGGAAAACAAAAAAATCATACCAAAGAAGAGAGTTAGTGTTTGGAAAATGTCTGCCAATGAACTAGTCCGGGGAGGAGTGGTTAGCACTCATCAAGTTATTGCTGTGAAATTTCTGGGTCCTGAGGTTTATAATTATTCTATTTTCCATATATGACAGGTGGAAAATTCTGAATTTTCAGCAGGAAAAATATCAACATTGCAGTCTCAAGAGTCTCTATATTCTTCATATTTCTTCCTTGCTATTTGGCCTCTTCTCTTTTCCCAATAACCAGAACCCCCTCATGTGAATTTTCTCTGCTCTATTCTCTGAAACTGACTAATTTGAACTGGGATATCCACTTAATTCTGCAGTTCACCCATCTGCTTCCACACTGACCACTTTTCCAAGTTACCTAGCAACTTGCTCCTCTTTCTTTCCAGCTCTACCATTCCCCTGCAAGGGTCTTTCTGATCCCAGTATACCAAAGTCCAGGGGAAGTGATAATTTCCTTAAATTGCTGGAAGAAGATGGAAATGCGGACAGCATGGAGATAGTGAGAGACTAGGTCATGCAAAAGACCTTATGGGTAACTTTGTAAATATTAGAAAGTACCATCTTTCTGGAAAATCTCAAAGAAGTAACTACTGCTCCAAGTGGTTAAAGCAGTGACTGGTAGGAACACAAATTCATGATGGACTAGACAAGCAGAATATATTTCAGTCACTGCCTGAAGAGCTGTGGGGCCATGTGGACTCTGCCAGGGGCTCTGTCCTCCTTGTTAGCAAACTTAAGAGGTTCTATCCATCTGGAGCATCCCTGGGGTCCCCCTGTCTTTCTTTACTCCTTTTCCTGCTCTTTGCTTCTCCTTTTCCTATTCATTCCATTTCTCTTCTTCCTCCTTTATGACACAGCCCAATGTTTTACACGAACAAGGAGATAAACAGTAGTAGTAATAGTAGTAGTATATCTAATAAAGACTTTATTGTAGCTAGCACTTCCTCTGTTCTAGACCCTGTTGTAAGGTTTAACATAGATTAAATATCTTATTTAATCTTCCCAGCCACCTCTGAGTATTATAATCCACATTTTCTCAGATGGGGGAAGTGAGACAATTTGCCTGCAATTGCACAGCTAGTAAGTGATGAGGTCGGGAGTTTTTAACTCTGGCATTCTAACTCTAGAGCCTGTACTCTTTACTGATCTACCCTTGATATAATGATGCGGTGGTAGAAGGTGATTTCAAGCTTTCGATTCTTTTTCTCTACTTCATTCTTTGTGCAAACCTTGAAATGAATGTGAGTTTCATTTCTTTGTAAGTACTCTCGAGGAGTGGTAATGTCTTTGTGGAGTATTACATGAGCAAGGATTGTCTGGGCACAGCAGGTAAACATGCACCAAATGGGGTGGTGGAGGGGCAGCACCAGGTTCCTGCTGGTCATGATTTAGACCTTGGGCACCTCTTAACAATTCAGCTTAGAGAGTACGGATAATACAATTTCAACTCCTCTGAGAAAAGGAAAGAGGCAGACAAATTTTTACGAGAAGGAGCTAAGGCAAATGTCATTATGACATACCATCCCCATCCCCAGCAAAAGAAGAATTCTATCCTCAAGGACAAGCCAACCTCACCCCCAGCCCTCAGGCTTCCCCACTGACCTTGAACGTCTCTGTCCTGTCCCGACAGTTTGAGAGGTTTCATCAATTAATGGACTCACAATCTTCTCGGTCATGTCCGTAAGCACAGTGAAGGTGGGTTCCACGATGAAATCAATGAAACCTGAAGAGAAACAGCAATGCTTCAGAGGAACCACATATTACCTTGGGCCTTTCCATACTTTCCAGAAGAAACTGATCTAGAAGGTCCAGATCAGATTACAAGAGAATGGGTTGATCTTATTCACTTTATATATTCCTTGATTTGAATATTACATGTCAGTTTCATTTCTCCTACATAACTTCCTATGACTTTTCAGGATACAGTTCAATAAAGTACCTATGAAATACTCAACACCCACTACAGAACAAGCACTGTGATAGGAATTCTGTAAAAGACTAAGACTGAACAACACGACCTGCCTGAAGTTGTGACATTTGAGCTGAGCCCTTAAGAATGGGTGGAGAGGAAGATGTGGCTATTCACTCTGGGCAGTGGGAATGGAAAAGGCCAAGTGACAGAGATGGGAGGGTGTAAGATGTGTCTGGGGACTGACTAGGGAGTAGGGATTCTTTTGGATTTGTGGAAGGAAAGCTTGGGAAGGCAAGTTATTGACAGCTCTAGGAAGGGAGGCTTCTAAGTGTTCAGATAGAGGGTTGGGACTTAGGTGGACACGGGAGGCTCCTGGAGATGTTTGAGCAGCATTGTCATAAGAGTTTTTAAATGTTCTTTGGAAAGTTAATCTGGCAAGATAATAATGAAGAAAGCAGGAAGGGAGAAGGATGAGAAAATCATTTAGAAGCTATTGCAATTGCTAAAAAAAAAAAGATAAAGAAGGCTGGAGCCAGTGCCACTATAAAGTGGAAATGCAAAGCAGGCACAGATACCCGCACAGCAGGAGGTGGTACTGCCTCTGTATGGGATCTGCCAAAGACACTCCAACAACAAAGCAGGGAAAATAGGAAATGTAAAGAGAATGTGGCCAAGAAATGACAATGGGCTCTGGTTCATATTTGCTGACTTTGAGGTACAGGGGGCGCATCTAGATGGGAGGGGGCAAACAGAGTTGGAAGAAACAGAACTGGAAAGTGAAAGAGGGCTCAGACCTAGAACTATACCTTTGTGAGATCACCGTGCTAGAGAGATGGCTGAAGTTGGGCTACAGAGATTGTCCTAATAGCTCAGACACCCAAATATTCTGTGACAATCAGGAGAAAAACTAGGAGCTGAAGCTAGTGGGGACGGTGGTAATTCCCTACACAGCCACATGAAAACTGGAAGGAAACTAAATATCAACCAGAGAAAAACTACGAGCTGAAGCTAATGGGGATGGTGGTAATTCCCTACACAGCCACACGAAAACTGGAAGGAAACTAAATATCAACCAGAGGAAATGTTGCCCATTCTCCTTTGAAGGTTGTATCTGGAAATGTATGCATGCATATTTAGTTTTCACAATGACCCAGATAGAGGTAAAGCTGGCATTAATGCTGAGCATAAAGGATGTTAAAAGTCCTACAATGTAATTGACAAAACAAGAACTGTCTCAACCAAATACCAATAGCGTCCTGACTGATAAGGAAACAGTGATAGCCAAATGTGTATTATGGTTAATATAGTGTTGTAATTGTGTATGTGTAGTATGTATTGTGTATTACGAGTAATTATAGTGTAGTTTTAAGCTGAAACTAAAGTATTTGATGACACCACTTTTGCCTTTTTTTTCCTGACAAATTAAGCTCAACATGTCCAAACCAGAACAAACTCATAAGCTTCCCCATAACCTTTGTAAATGGGACCATGGTCCAACCACTTAATCTAGAGTTCTGCCTTTATCTCAGCTTTGCATTCAGTCAAATCCTTGACACCTTATGTGCCACCTCTCTTTTGGAGAGGCTCTGTTACTACCTTAGTTCTGATATTCATCATCTCTTCTTTGTAATCCTGTAGGAGGCACCCAACTGGTTTCCTTGCCTCTAATCTTACTGAAAATCCTCCAATTAATCCTCCATGCTACTGGCAAAGAAATCTTCTAAAAACAGGGTTGGCAAACTTTATCTGTAAAGGACCAGATAGTTATTTTAGACTTTACAGGCCATATCATCTCTATCAAAACCACTTAACTCTGCCACTGAAGTGCAAAAGCAGTCATAGACAATATGTAAATGAATGCACTTAGCTGTGTTGTAATAAAACTTTATTTACAAGAACAGGTGGTGGGCCAGATTAAGCCCACAGGCTAAAACATAAATTTATATATTTTTAACCTCACTTAAAATTCTTTAGATATGCCCTCATTTCCTACAAGAAAGTATAAACACATGCTATTATTAACACTACATAAAATCTGGGCTTGATACGTCCCTCACTACATCCTACTCCCTACCCAATGTTCTTGCCATATGGAAATGTTTAGAATTTGCTGACCATACCAGGCAGTTTTAAGTTTCCCTGCTTTGTATATGCTACATTCTCTGCCTGGAATGACCTTCTACCCACCCCTAGCTCACCTCCAACACAGATCACCATTTGCCCAAACAATGCCTACGCACTTCTTGGGACTCAATTCAAATATTACCCCTTAATAAACCTAATGACTCACACACTCTGTTGTGTACCTTATTGTACTATGTACAAAAGTCTACCTTAGCGTTATAACATTCTAATAGATTTTTGTTTTTGTAACATTTTGCCCATCACTCAATACTGGTTTAATGTGTTTGAAAGCAAGTACCGTGTATAATTTGTCTTTGTTCCTATAACATCTATTACCATGTCTAGCAGTGCCCAATATATGAAGACTCAATATATATTATTTAAAAAGCATAAGCACTCAAAACAAAAACAGAAAAATCCATAATTCTTATTGAATTTTCTTAAATGATTTCAGACTTTTCAAAGGTGGAGATCACTGACAACGTTTAATTCAGATAGGGCACTGGTGCCCTCTCCCATAGATGAAGATTTTTTTAATGCATATATTATGGTTATCAGCAATTCAAAAGTTATCCTTACCTAAAAAATAAAGTGCTTTAAAGAAAAGAAAGGAAGGAAGACAGGAAAGAAGGAAGAAAATATTTTGAAAGATCCATTCATGGAAGTAGATTCAACCAGGAAACGGGGCTGTCCTGAAAATGGGGCTAGAAGAAGCATCAGTGAGTAGAAATGCCTTGGCAGCTTACAGTGCTACACGCAGAATGGAGGGATAGAGTAGAATGGGCTTCCTGCCAATGACATTTGTTATCTCCTTGGAGAGTTGGGACCCCCTCTTTCTCTTGACAGGGAGTGACAGAGACACCAAGAGTATCATTGTCCAATTCTCCCATGAACAGCCACATTCCAGGGAGAAGAATGGACAGAGTGGTTCCATAAATCCAATCAGGCAGAGCCATGAGCACAACACGGCAGAATGGAGCCAGTTTTCCAGTCAAAGAACTGCTCAGAGCATCTGTGCTTACTTCTACAGGCTTCCTGCTTTGGTGCTTCCTTCTAACCAAAGAGCTGGCAAACACGTACCTACTTGTGACTGAGCAACCATAGTGGACTTTCGGTCACACAGAGGAGAAAAAGGCAGCCCCAGTTCTGCTTCTCTGTCACCCTGGAAAAATAAAAGGTCATAGTAAATTAAGGAACAGTAGGCTGGGTCACCCAGATTTCATTTAGAGACTTCTGCTGCCATGGAGGCCACTGGTCTTTAGTTTAATTATTACAATTACATTATATAATAAGTCTTTATGGAGACTTCTTCTCTACATAAAAGACAAGAAAAGGCTGAAGCACTCTGGGATCCAATAGTTCCATCCAACTACAAAGCTCATGCTGCTATAAAGAAAGCCTCATTGGGTAGTACTATGACCTCCATGGAAAATAAGGCAACAAGAAATATGTCTTGTGGCCTGCAGCCAGTACTGCAGGCAGAATTTCTGTGTTTTCCTAAGTCATCCTGGGTCAACCTGTGGTCTTTGTCTAGCTAGTGAACTCCTCCCAGATGTGAGCAGTGTTTGAAACTAAAATTCAAACTGGACTGATTCAGACTGATCCCCCTAGTGCTACTTAAAGTCACACACACTTGGAGCAAGTGCTTCTGGGTTCTTAACCTCAGAGGTCAGTCCATAATGAAAAGTGGACCAAAAAGAGTCAGAATAAATAATTGCTTGTGTCTATGAAGTTAGACAACAATAAAACATAATTGTCTGACCAATATATTCTCAATCTTGCCAAAAAGCATCACCATAATAAGTACTACGAAAAGTCTAAATAATGATGGAGATGTTTTCTAAAAACTTGGGCCTGAGGCTTAATACTTGTCATACCCCCAGAGGAAAGGAAAAAAAAATATGTCACCCTTCTTAGAGTAGTGAATCTGTGCTAATTCATTTTACTGGCTCAGGATAGTAGCTACTAACTTGTGCTTGAATCTCTTTCTCCTACCAGATATGAGATAGATCATAGGTAAGTTATTTTCTTTCCATGCATTTCAGTTTTTATCACTTAGTTAAATGTGGGATAGTAATCTCTACCTCATAGGGTTATAAGGATGAAAGAGAAAAATGCATGTAAATAAATAAAATGAACTGTTGTTTCCCAACAGGTGGCTCTAATATTTAAGGTCAAGATTCGAGAAACTTTTAGTGAATTTGTTCACCTAATACATTCTGATTGTAATAAGTACTGTCAATAAATTAATTTAATAGCAAATAAAGGATAGTAACAACCTGCAACCAGGCCTGGTTCAAAACTGGATGATTCTTCCTTCTAAGGCATGCTACCAAACAGAACACATGTTGGCTCAATGCAGCATTAACTGAAAGGACGGAAAAGGAGTGTGTGTCTAAGGAAGTTCAACAGTGGGGTCACAGTGGGAGCTGGGGACATCCAAGGGTTTCAGGAATAGTCCGTAAGTGGCTCAGTTCCTTCTGCACCCTCTTCCTATATCGACACCCCAGGGGACAAATGGCTTCTTTATTTAAGTACGCTCTACTCTCTCAAGTGGCATGATAAAAATGATTTCCTCCTGCGTGATTTCTACCTAGGTGATATGTAGAAAAGGAAGTGTATTTATAACATAAATTCTAGTGATGTAGATGGTTTGGTGGGATAGTTCAGCTAAAACAAATAAAACCCTTTTTATTCCCATGTAGCAGGGATACAAATTGTTCTGTCAGTATATTTTAATGGGGAGGGTGTGAACACTCTCCATTTGACTATTAAAGTATAAACACCAATTTGGATTTCATTACTGAACAATCACCTGATACTAAATAACTCTAATTCCATGAACTTGTCCATACCCAAATATACACATAATTTACATGCTTTGTATTTAATTGAGCTATGTAGACTCAACTAATAAAAGCTTATTTTTAAAACAGAGTTAATTGAATTCCCTTTGGAAAGCAGATATACTTATGAATTGGAAAAAAAACAGTGCTGATAATAATGTAGAGGAATAAACTTCTACTGATGAATCCAACTTGAGTGATAACACCATACTGTATGACTCTATAGCTATAGCTTAAGATTATTCATACACTTTCCTCTTTATTGAAGAGGTCAACATTTTCAAAAGAGGGCAAAATTCTCTATTTACACAAAGGATTTTTAAAAATCACTCATTTTTTTCTTCCGGGACAGCTCAGAAAATTAAATATCATTCCTGCAGTAGGGGTTAAGGATAACTCCAACTGATAAAGTCATGTAGTTGGCACGCAGAAGGAAGATAATGAATATCTGTTGAATAAATGAGAAGACTAATTTGGTTAGAAACACTCAAGTTCCTTTGGTCACTCAGACATTTATGACAGACAAACTAAAGAGAGCAATTAGGCAAGTAGCTGTTCACCAAACCCCTATTCTTCTCCTCCTCCATTTCCTGTCTACACAGCTAGACTCCATTGCCTAGAATCACTGCCAGTTAGTGCTCAATAACAGAAGAAGAGAAGGGATGCATTTCTACCACAGTTCAGCAGTTCAGGCCTACAACATCTCTTATGCCTACTTCTCCATGCTTTCCCCGGTTTAGTGGTTTGATGTAGACAAGCACTTTGGAAGCCAGGTAGATGGCAGAGTATGGTCTAAAATCATTGCTTATCATAGAACCACCTGCCAATCAAGAAACATGAGTCCTATACTTTACATGAGTGAGTTCAAAACTTCCATTTATGTGTGTTGTTATACATTTGGGGGTAGCTATATGTAGGCAGCAAACCAGTCAAAAGAAACAAGGGCTCCATCTGTATTGGAAGTTCAGAGAAGATGGCACCTGTCAATGCAAGAGCTTCCAAAGACATTTAGGTAATATCTCAAGTGAGTCTTCTCAGAAAGAAAAAGGAAATGTTTGGGAAAGCAACAGAAGGATCAGGTTGAACAAAGCACAGCAATGTATATTCTTCTTTCCCAGAGGAGGAAGACACAAATATAACATATGAGAAAGGCATTGTGATGTTGGATTTAAGATCGCATAGTAAAGTTTTAGCTCTTTCAGAAATTATCACCTCAAAATGAGGAGGGTAGGAAAAAGAAATGCAATCACACATCCAAGTGAAAATCTGTAATCTCAAATCAAAACTATATGAGAAAGGGCTGCCAAATGCTGTAAATATCAAAGAGGAATGAGGCAAGATGCCAAGAGGCTAGGTAGAGAATAGACATTGAATTGCAAGAGGCCCTACAAAAGTAAGGAAAAAGTCAAGGCGCGCACACACACACACACACACACACACACACACACACTCACACACCACTTCATAGGACCCTCATAATAAACCAAGGACAATTCTAGATAGCTTGGAATATTACTGCTCTGATTGCCCTGTGGTACAAATCTGCAAATAGTTGGCCTGAAAAGAATACATTTCACTCAAAGATGGTAAATAATAATAACAAAGTGAAGAAGAAAAGACAGAAGGAAGAGAAGGGGCAGAAGGAAGAGTACAAGGAGGAGGAGGACAAAGAGATGATGGAGAAGATGGAGGAGAAGAGGAAAAAGGTGAAGAAGAAGAGGAAGGAAGAGATAAGAAAAATAAAAGAGCAAAGGGAGGAGAAGGAAGTATTACGCCATCAGCAGCAAAAGCAGGAATAGAGAACTTCAAACAGCAGATGGGGAACACTCATCAGAAAAATGGTGCCACTATTAACAGAAAGAAGCTCCTGAAATTATCAAGAACAAGGGCTCAGAGGAATGAGACCTAGCAGAGTACAGGAAAGATATTGAAAAGAGAAGAAAACTAGAACTATCACATTAATGCACATTGTGCTGGAAGCAGCTCAAAGGAGAATTGAATTACTAAAAATAAAAAGACCAGTGAAGGCACTATAAACAAAAAGAGAAACAATAAAAAAATCTGATAATTTCATAGAGAAAAAAGGAAAAACTCACCAACACGTGTGATAAATAAAAACAGGAAAAATACCATAGACACATTAAAAGAACTGTAAGAGATGTTTGCAAAATATAAAATTGTACACCAATACAAAGAAAATGAACCTCACAGTTTTTACAACATGATGTATTTACCAACGAAGTGAACTTATACTTCTTTAAAGTCAATATTTCATCAAAAAGTACCCTGAGGCAGTGGCTTGGATTTTGTAAATTATGGTTATAAAATCGAAGATGTAACTTACTCTCTTAGCAAACCATGGAATGTGTGGTCCATCAGTACTGAGACTATGCCCTTATTTTAAAATGTAACCCAACTTTCCAAATGTAATTTTTAAAAACACTCTATACTGCCACGGAGATTTCCCATTTGAATTGTCCAATTTAAAATTTATAGTTAAGAGCTGAGGCAACATTTCTCCTACATGTGTTACTTACTATAGCTTATGGCATCTAGGTTAAAATATTAAGTCAATGAAAATAATTTACTGAATTATAATTACAAAAAAATAGTTCCAGTGCAATGAGTTAACAGTCCCTTCCCAACAGGCAAGAAATTCAATATGGTTATTTTCATATTGCCTCCAGCACATTTTTATTTGAGTATATATATGTGCAAACAAAGTTTCCTTTATGAGGAAAAAAATGTTCATATGTTTAAGTAATTCATTTTTACTTCCTCATAATTAGAAAAAGAATCACTGTAATACCTCAAACTTATGAGTTAGCTATTATCTATCCTTTAGCCATAGACCAAATACTCCTAGCTGTAGAGGGTATGACATGGTTTGGCTGTGTTCCCCCACAAATCTCATCTTAAATTGTAGCTCCCATAATTCCCATGTGTTGTGGGAGGGAGCCTGTGGGAGATAATTGAATAATCGGGGGCAGTTTCCTCCATATTGTTTTCATGATAGTGAATAAGTCTCATGAGATCTGATGGCTTTACAACGGGAAACCCCTTTCACTTGGTTCTCATTCTCTCTCTTTGCCGGCTGCCATGTAAGACATCCTTTTGTTTTTCCTTTGTCTTCCACCACAGTTGTAATGCCTCCCCAGCCATGTGGAACTGTGAGTCAATTAAACTTCTTTCCTTTATAAATTACCCAGTCTTGGGTATTCTTTATCAGTAGCATGAAAATGGACTAATACAGTAAATTGGTACTGGTAGAGTGTGGTGCTGCTGTAAAGATACCTGATATGTGAAAGCGACTTTG